GCAATCGTACTTGAATTAAATAATACGTGATAAACGATACTGAAGTGCACCGTACGGATGCAACCGGTGCAACCTGCGTTATATGGGTCCTCTTGCGTCCTCGCAAAAGCTACATTGACATTGCACCTCTAAAAATAAGCAGGACTGCCGATCTCGCGTGCAATTCCATCTTGGCTTTGTTCCAACGAAAAATATACTTGCATACTTCTGCTTTTGTTTTCTTTTTGCTTCGCGTGCATATACGTACATTGTAAAATTATGCGTACACACATACACATGCGCGTGCACACACATACACAAACGCGCTCGCGTACAGACACAGATGTATGTTCAGGCGGTAGCAGGCGGGGTGCGAAATGTGTCGCGCGATGCCGCTACTTTTACATTTACGTTATTTTTATACCGTGTGACTCTTTGGTTTTTTTCACTAATCGTAAATTCTCATAAGATATCTGCCGCTTATTTTCCTACGCTTTTTAGACCCGTCGTTGCGCTCGTCGCAAAGCGAGGCGAGAGTCGGCGGCCGGCCGTCCCTGTACAAAAATAGGCGAATCAATAGAAATCGATCAGGAGTACATTGTGTGAGCGAAGAACCGCGAGTGCTTAAAACTCATAAATTCTTGAATAAACGATCGAATTCGATTAGTTCTTTATTTAACGGGACAACGAACCGCGACACGAAACGGTAGTTGGCCGAGAAAGAAAGATATGGATTTAACAAGTTCGATGCAAATTAAAATTCAAAGGTTACATTCAAAAGAAGATTATGAACAAGTCTCACGGAACAGTTTCCCTCGATCGAATTCTCTCGGTCCGCCTCTGCGAAAAATATCCGTAGACTCGAAAAACGCTGCATCCGACAGCCGATCAACGCGACAAGCGCAACGTCAGTGCGCGTGAGAGAGGCCGGTGATAGATTTCTTTTTTTCTTACGCGGAGGCCGTGTGTGTTGCTGTGTTGTTTTTCTTCTCTGTTCGCGAAGATATGTACTACTATTGAAGTGTCGTCCTCGCGCATCTGGCAGTTATCACCGTTACACTACGTTATAATCGTCGGCTATTTCGCGGGCCGTTCGTCATCGAGACGAAATCCATCTTACTATAGAATCCATCTTAGCTACAGAATCTGAAGAGAGATCTTCCTGAAGAATGCTCGCAGTACTCTTCAAGCGAAACTTTAACGCGTGTGACAACCTTGTAATTCACGTAAAATCGGGTTTCCGATATTTCAGATACGCGGAAGTGACATTAACGCGTGAAAAGAAGAGAAACAGTAGAAGAAGAAGAAGAAAAAAAGTAGAAAACAAACTATGAAAGAAATAGATAAATCACGAACAACATAGAAGGATCCACTAACAATAGCCGTGCGATTTGTTTCAGAACACGCGAAGAAACGGCGCTTCTCGAAACACACCGCGGTAACTTCGTAGAAGTACAAGAGACCATGTCGGATTCGTTGTACGGCTCAGGTGTTGAGACAGGTGAAGTTACTGTTGACGGCGCGCGGAAACGTGCCGCGATTTGATTAGGCCGGAGATCTGTGATCAAGGATAGGCCGGAAATTTCCCCCCCATAGGAAGAGGAGCAGTTTCTCTTTTCTTCTCGATACATAACGAGAAGAGCCGTTTCCGCGGGTCTTCGCTTCAATTTCGTCGCGCGTTTCTCGGCCGGGAAGTACCGTAGCGGTGAAATTGACGACGGTCGGTTGGGGCGTTCGATCGACCGGTTGCGGACGCGTGTCCGACATACGTAAGACACACACACACACGCACACATACACACACACACACACACACCATACATCTACGCGAACGGCCCGTGCGGCGCAACGACGGCAGGCCAGCCGATTCGGATTCAGGTGTGTTTCGATCGATTAGGCAGAATTAGGCTATTGAGAGAGTGGAGGTACGAGGCGGCGCGATCGGGCACGACAGGAGCAGACTCGGTGTCGCCAGAACGGCAGTCAGGAGAGACGCCAGTGGCAGTAGTAAGGACGGCGTGCGGCTTTCGAGTGCGGAATTGCACAAATCACCGGTGCACGAGCAGTACGTAGCGCGTACGTCGTGTGTGCCGGTTCTCGTAAGGCACTCGCCGTTGTCCATCTCGTTCGTGATGTATCCGCAGCTCCGGACGACCCTCACCTTGCCGTACACTGCAACGATTCAATTTCTTTAAAGTTGAAAGAAGAAGAAAAACAGAAAGAAACATGACGAAGCATGACCTACAATGTGCTTTTTGCTTTCTGCTTTTTTCTCTTTATCTCTTCCTGTGACTTGAATCTTAAACATTGAGTTACAAAAAGATAGAGAACAAAAGACGGAAAGCGAAAGGCATGTTGCAGATTGGGTCTGCAAGAATAGGATAAAACAGAAACACACGGCAAAGAAAACAGAAAAATACAACCGACTGCTACCCACAAACAGCAGTTCTTCCTGTAAAACATACGTTTTGCTCTTTAAGATTGAGAACATCAAATATTATATATGTAATGAATATATAAAATTAGTTAAAAAATAATTAAGACACGAGACTTCTGAGATACCTTTCGCCACGGCTGGGGATATCGTTATTAAATCGAAATTCAATTGTTAATTGTGCATGCATAAGATAAATTTGAAAGAGAACTTTGCGTTACAGTTCTCACCTTTTTGACTGATTTTCCGGCAAAGAGTCGGCTCCAGCTGGCTGAGGTGCTCCAGGCGAGGCTGAAAGCTGCAGTTGACAGTTCCAAGACTGTACGGGTCGAATGGATCGCCACACCGCGGGTCGTACTCGCTGTTGCATTGGTAACATATTATCGCCTCACCTGCAATCATAGGTTGATCAGCGTTGGCATTTCTCGCGTCGGGAAAATCGAAGCCGTATGCACTCGTTTCCGTGTGCATTAGAAGGTCGTGACGTGTGTATCTTATGAGTTTAATTATCTATTCTACACAGGGAAAAAAACAATCCTATCAGTATAATTGAATTTTCTGTAAACTTGGGGACCAGATAAAAAAAGACTCAGTTGTGGGAACAGGAAGATTCCCGCAGGTTTCTACTCAGTCAATTGCACTGAGTTTTAATGCAGCTGTTCAGACTGATATTTTCAGACACTGTAACGGAGATACTATTTCTCGTCAGCGAGCTTTTTGTTCGATTGACATGTATTTTAAAAACGCATCTTTCACAGAGTAAATTCAGCCGCAATTCTACAGACGAGAAAGTTCGAGAAAGTGGACGTCGGCCGGGCGAGGGTGAACACGTCGGTAGGGTCGAGAGAGAGAAAGAAGGTCTGGTTCACGTTGTCTGGCTTTACTATGACGTAACCACCCTGCACGCACACCCGTTGCATCCCACGGAACCAGGCTGACACGGCGCCAGCTGATATCGAACAGCGTAGCGAGGCACGCGATGACCTACACTCAGCTGTCGTGGATCGATACGAAGAATCCAAATTTTATAAGTGCCCGTGTGCGATTAGGGGCGAATGAAGAAAACGGTCGTCGAATTCATGTTCTCCTCGTCATCACCTTTCTACGCTCGTCGTGCAGCCCGTTGTGCGTGACAATTTCACTGACCCATTTCGCATATCCTGCACACGCTCGCAACACGGACGCAGAAAGTGTCCTAATTATTAAAAAACGACAAAAAATTTGTAAAAGAGAAATAATAACATAGTGGGCGATTTATTCTTTAACAATTTTTCCCTGCATTTCCACACTCCGAAAACCACGAAATGTCACCCCGAAATGTTGCGCGATCGATCCTGACTGGGATATATAATTTTACACGCGAAGCCTAAGGATCGAATTTTATTATCCTTTGCGATGGACGACCGCCAAGTTTCGTCAACGGCGTGGATAATTTATTTGATAAGTCTCCATTCTATACGACTCCATTCTGTCGCTCCCTTACATTATTGGCTTGGACTCACAAGTTCGCGATATAGTTTTTGACAAACTGCCGACATTCGAATAAGGTTTTATTGATCCAATCGGGTGAAGTCGAACGTAAGCGACAGATAACTACATATGTTCTGAAAGCAAAAAAAAGAAAGAGAGAAAAGGACAAGTAGAGACGCAAATAATACCAAACCAATCTCGTCGATTACGAAAATCCCGTCATCGTTTTGTCTAAGCGGTTAAATCGATTTCCCGGTCTGTGGCTGAATAAGTAATGAAACAGAATAAGTTTGATTTCCTAATTCTACGATTTCCTCAAAGCGGGCTGGTATATTAACGGGGAAAAGGGGAGAAGGAGAGAGCAAGCATATCTTCTTGGAAACGAGACGGGTGTGTGCGCGTGCAATATCATTAAGATAATAAATTGGTACGATAGAAAGAGGAGCAATATTATCATTATATACATACTCGGAAAACAAGATAAACATACTAAACATACAGAAGAGACGGGCGGACCGAGGGAGTCGAGTGAGAGGAAAGGGGTGAGGAGGAGAAAGTGGGTCGCTCGATATCCTCACACGAGCGGCAGGCTCCGTAGATACTATCCTAAATTTCAACAAATTGCCGGATATAGCCGCGCGTATCCGCGCGACGCTCTAACCCGCGAATTGCCGATGCCAGTTAACCTTCGTATCGGCAATTACTTCGATCGCCGGGGACTGACCGCGAGTCATGCGTTGAATCCGACGAAGGTGATCGAGGCTGCGATCCTCTGGGATCGGGTTTTCCGCTGAAATTAACGCGTGACTTCGATTCCACGCGGGAGTGCGGGAAATTTCAAAGCGGAGACGGGAAGGAACTCGCATGCGATCGGATTTTCGCCACTCGATTGTCACCGAGTGAAATCGCCAACAGACGAGAAAATGCGACTTTAATCGCACAGGATTCGCCCACTTTTTCTTGTCGTCTAATTGACGATGGTCTACCGATTTGAGAATTTTACACGGAGAATTTCTTTCATATAAATTCTTTTCGACTGTTTCTAACAATGCACGAATAGATTGTTAGTGAGGTCTATATTTCCTAAAGAACATAGTAAATTTTAACAAAGAAATATTTCCATTTAGAAATATAGATTCTTATTCTCTTTTTCAATAGCAATTTTTACTATAAAACTCTCCGTGAGACTTAATCCCAATAGTAAAACCAAGCGCCTCCTAAACATTTTTTGGTATAAATTTAATTTCAATTTACATTCAAGAATTTTCTCTCAATACATGAGAACCGTTGAAAGTAAAAGAAAAAAAGCAGCGATTGTAACTTATGATAAATGATCTGATAAATTTCAAATTAAAATTTTTGGATAATATACGATCAATACGACTAATGAAATAAGCGTGTTACCGTCAAGATTAATAGTCATTTGGCAGACTCGATTGACGGGACTTAATTATCGCGCGATCGTTACTTTGGCTGACACGATCTGAAGATCTCGACACCTTTCACCTTTGCGCTACCAGCGCGGGCGATTACGTCACCAGCTCACGGAGGACATCCGCTAAGGAGACGTTCCACCGCGGGCGTCGCGTCTGATCGCGCATCCGGCGCCGTCGAGGAAACGAATATCCATTGTGCGGCCGCGACCGTTTCCCGAGTTTGATTTTTCCGTCGTCGTCGCCACCGACGCCGCTGTCGTCGTCGTCGTCGTCGCAGGAATCGTCGGACGTGTATCGACAAACGTCCACGGCGGGAAACGCGGTCGAAGCGCGCCGATCCGCTCGATCGTGGATGCGAATTTAATGCGGAGGCCGAAATCAGGCCGCGAGCTCGATAATGCGGATTCGCGATTTCGCGGAACTATTTAATTTTCCATGCTGACGGGAGTCGCGAGGCCGCGAATTCATTTTCTGTCGGAAGCATGCGACGCGAGCCCGAGAATACTTAATATGCAGGATACGCTTGCTGAAATCTCTACCGCGTTCTCCGCGACCTTCTCTACAATTCTCTACATTCGGCGATGGTGAAGGCGCCGTTACATCGAGATTCATTCGCGGGGATTTCACTGGTGAAACGCATACTCCAAATATTCGTTCAGGAGGCACTCATTCGGCGGTCATTCCACGACACTCTAGGTGAACTCGCGCTGAGCGCACTTACCGCGACATTTTCCCCGGTAATAGGATTGCGCCCGAAAACAGTACGCTCATTTTCGCGACATGGTGTCTCGAAGTACCACAAGTGCTACCGTTGTAGGAATTCTCCGATCGCTATCTCGCCTCTTCCATTGGCCGCGATGTCGCGCTTCATGATAACATATCGACCTGCATTGTCAATGCGACAATAAAGAGATGCGCGTGCGATGCTCCATGCACGAATAAATCCCAGCAAATTGAAATATGTTTTTTCTGTTTAAACACAAAACTGAAAGTAGAAAATTAAGTCTTCGAGATAGATATAGTTGTCAAATCTTGTAGACACGCGAGAATTAATCATAAAATCTCTCAGAGATCCATAAGACCGTTCCATCTTTTCCTGACTGATATAACATTTGAATGTCGAAACAATTGAATGTCGAATATGTAAAAGAGGTCTATTTCGATATAAACTAACGTTTGAAACTCTGAGCGAAGAATCCGGTCTCTTCTATACTGAGAAGAAATACTTAAAAATTTTTATTTGCGGAGCATAACATTTATTTCCGTGAAATAGAATTTATTTCTCCGTACGAGTAGATTATACCCCACAAGTAAATATTCAGATATTTCTACTTGTAGTTTTATAATTGATATCTGCAAAAATTAAGATGGATCAAAATAAGAAAGAGAGAGAGACTTGCGAGTCAATTCCAGATTTCGCAGATGAAAAATTCAGAAGCTCGCGGCGCGTGTGTTCCTAAAATTCTCCCCGATTCATCTACTCGACTGCGAGGAGGATGAATAATATATCGGTGGATCCAATTTTCCCGACGTAGCGTATTCCGATTTGTTACAGTGACATATATTTCAGGCGCGCGTTCCTGTAATAAACTCAATAACGCTGCAATGAATCGTTCGGAATCGCCCGCGGTTTGTAACGATCCCACCCAGACGGCCGCATGTAGTTCAACTTACGTAACTCACACGCGCGCAGAGTAACCGAGACGATTCGCGGCTCGTTTGTCCGACGCAAGGAAGTTCCAAGAGACCTCTTCGGAAGAGGACATTTCAAGGACGTTTCATTTTCCCGAATAAGACACTTTTTCCACGCCTCGTGGACAATGCGAAAAGTTTAGCAGACCTTTCGAAAACCTTCGGATCTTCTGCACATCTTTCGGGGATTGTCTCCCTCGCGAACAATACACAAATTTAAAGACGCCTTATTCCGCTCCCGAGATTCTTTGAGACAGACAGGTTCGTTATGTAATAGTTATTATTGTTACGTAATAGTTATTATTTAAAACTCACCTCTAGTGAGACACTCAGAATTGAATTCAGAGTTAAATGAGAGCATTTTCCAGTTAAACCGCGATTACATAGATATAAATGTTGGATATATTATAATTTAACTGAGAAACTTGAATCGAACTCTGAATAAAAATCTGAATATTTCATTTGAAGTAACGACTATTAATACCTGAAACTCTTTGAGGAAAGTTTCGGAGATATTGCGGAGACAGATATGCAATTAGTCTTGAAACTTTCGATCGAGAAACTTTCGATCGAGAACTTTCGATCGAGAAATCTAAGAAACGTCCTGATCTTTCGGAGGTTTTTCGAAACGACTTTGTGTCGTTTGATTCTCCCAACCCCGACGACGAGCCATCGGTTTCTGTTCCGGTTCTGGCTCCTTCGCGGCGGCAACCTTCCCTGCCGTCAGCTGTACGCCGCATTGCGCCGTGATGTATACGACTCTTTTCTTCACTAATAAATAAAGTGCACGAGGTCGTGGTATCGATCGTTCTTGTACTTTTGGACAAATACCGTGCTCGTGCGAATGGCAATTAGTTCAATTTCGTCCGAAGGGCGATACGAGCATGCACGAGCGATAACATCGGGAAAGCCAAGTTCCCGTCAATCTTGTGCGAAAGACGCGAGTGTTCAGCGCGACTTCACCCAGAGACTACCCTCTGCTTGACCCTGAGGCTATTTCTCGGGACTATCGTGCATTTTTTCCCGGGATATATCGCGTCAACAGAAATCGACGCCATCAAGCAAGTCGTTCGAAAGGCGCAAAACGTCCTGACCTTGCGGAGCAAACGGAGAGCGGGGTGCTTTACAAAATCTCTATAGACGCGTTTTGTGCTATTCGGGAGAACATTAACAACCTTCGTGAAGAAGCTTACAGGTTCAAGATATCTACAAACAAGACGGCGACTCGAGAAAAGGTGCACAAACGAAATTCCTGTTTTGCAAAGAACGTACATTCAGAATATCGTCGAGAAGACAGAATTTCGTTTTGCACGCTGTTCTCTTAATTTCCGACAAAGATCGCTGTCTACGCTACTTTACTCTCTCTAATCGCCTCGTCCTGAACAAATCGAAGCGCGCGAAGTATCTTGGCACGCGCGACGAAGGAATCGCGCGATTTTCAATTTCGCGTTGGATTCCGCGAATCCAGGCCGCAATCGCGTTCTACGCAAAAGATCGATCGCGGTCCCGCGAGAATTCCGGGAAAGTCCGGTGACGGCGGCATCGGTCGCAGAGTTCGATCGGCACTCACCGCGATCGAAAGTGGCCGCCAGGACAACGAGGACGAGGCCGGTGATCAGCGCGGCACGGTTCGCGATCATGGTCGCGATCGCCGGACCATGTGCGTGCTTTCTGTCTCTGTCGACTCTAATTCCGCGATTGTCGCATAGAAGGCGAGCACGTCGTCGTCGTCGTCGTCGCCGCCGCCGACCAGGAAGGAGAGGCAGTGAATGATATACGTCGTTGTCGCGTCGCCTCGCGTTACGTCGCGTCCAAGAGTGAGGAGAGCGACTACCAGGCACGGTCCGCTCGCTGGTGATCGCGCACCGTGTTCGCGATCGTGCTCGGACGCATAGCAACTGATGCGCCGATACCCGTCGACCGAGTTTCCCTCGCCTACTATATCCGCACTATGCGGCAGATCCCACCCCCTCTGGACTCGCGATGCGCCCGCTGCGCCCGCTGCGCCGGTGCAATCGTCGATGGTGCTGCACATACACTCCTCCTCTTCCTCTTCTTTCTCCTCTTCCTCCTGCCTCTCCTCTCCTCCTCCTCCTGTTCCTCTTGCTTCCGGAATGTACATCCCCGCACCAGAAACGTAATCGCAAGAGACCTGTCGTTGTAGAGATTGATATTTGTGAGAAAATGTATTCCTGGACTCGGAACAGTTCGCAACTCGTAACTTCTCTGTGCGACGAGAGAAAGAGCGAGAGAGAGTCTTTCGACAATAGTTTATTGTAAATATTACTATATATAAAACAAACTTACAAAGACAGTGTACAATTAAATTACGTGGGCATCGCTGTCGGTCAAAAACACATCTGTTTACTCGTGACCGCGACAAACGATGATCTTCGGTATTCTTGAAAACAACTCGGCATTCTGTTTGCATGACGATCGCCGGCAGAGATCGTGACGCCAAGAAACATTGCGGGAATGTGTCCTAACACAATTAAACACAGCTGAGGATTCTCGACACCTTCGTTTCTCTCTCTCTTTCTGAAAACGCAAGACAACTCACAACGGTTTATAATTGAAAGATTGCAATAATCGCGAAGTGTGTCACAGAGGATTATCGGGGATCCTTGATGACGTCGCTACAACTGCACTCGACCACAATGTCATTCATCGCGAAAAATTATATATGATACGAATTATGTAACTAAAATCTCCTATCGGTCGTTCAGTGGCCGACCAAACCTTTATGTAACTATCTAAATTTTTGTTTTTACAAATAATACGCCTTAAATTTGCCTTACCGTCGTTCTAGAAACACGTTCTCACTCCCTGTACGCGACTAGCCGCGCGTTCGTATTACAATAACACTAAAACAAAGCACTTGTACAGGCACGTTCATCAGCGTAAGTACTAGCATCAATAGCCTCGCATACAACAAACATTTCAACGTTTACGCGCTTGCGGTTACGCACTAGAGGACTCCTCTGTTCAACATTTGTGAACAAAACGACACATCGATCTCGGCCTTGGAGTCAAAGTCCGATATACTATATATACAGGGTGTTCACCGTAAATTTCATTTCATGATTTGAAGTTCCTTTGATGAACGCCCTGCATGCATGTACTATGAGAGATGCACCCTCATGTATAGTACGAGGCACATATCGTGATACATCTTCGATCGGTTCATGCAGCTAAAAGTACGAATGGTCTTCATTTTTCGGGTTCATCGGGGTGCTCGGTCTTGATATGATGAGTGAACATGTACTGCGTCGTAAAGCGTTTTTTACAATAAGGACACTGATAGGGCATTACCGGATGCGCTGACCTCAAATGCGCCACAGCTAGATCCCTCGACACGAACGGCGATTTACACACGCCGCACCGATATCTGAAAGTGCAGACGTGTTATGCGAAGGCAATAGTTAGCCGGATATTCGAAAAGTAGTTCAGTCTTTGCCTTTCTTCGGGAACGAAGTTTTGGCATTTCAAAAACGTCTACTCACCCATTAGTTGTCTTGATGAGAGTCCGTTTGAAAGGCGGGGGCGCGCTTTGCTCGCTGATCTCGATTCTGGGTTCAATGATGGGAGGCACGCTGTACTCCAAGATCTCTGGACTCAATTTTGGCATCGACTCGTCGTCTGTTTCGATTTTGATCTCACGCTGTTGTGTCTGGAAAGCGACAACGGTCAGCTACAGGATACGCATGATGTATGACATTGTTGACAATGTCATGTATCACATACCATGTTATTGCCGTATGCGTCGTTGTTGTGCATCCTCATGTGGGAGTTTCGCAACGGCAACGGCGACGAGAAGGACGCGTCCCGTTTGTGTCTCTTATTGCTGTCGTGGGTCGACGTTTTCTGCACGGATTCCGCAGCGGCTCTCTTCTCTAACGCGCCTGTGCATTGATGAGTGAGCAGTGATACTTCTTTGAAGAAGATCTTATTGCATTTCGCGCAGAGATATGTTTGCTTCACCATATGCGTCTTCTGATGTTCCTTGTACAGAGACTTATCCATGAAGGACTTCTTGCAACTGTTGCAAGTGTATGCGGCTTTATCGGCGCGTTTATGACTCGCCTATCAAGATAGTTTGTGTTTAAAAATACGATGACATGATAAATGACTAATTCTAAATGACCATGTTGTAAGAGTACTTACTTCGTGCCTGACAAACTGCCATTGTTCTTTAAACGATTTTTTACAAACATGGCACGTGAAGTTCCTGCAATTGTAATTGTCCGAGTGCGTCTGGAGATGCGTCAGCATCGTCGTATGGTCGCCAAACCATTGCGAGCAGATCCCGCATTTTGCTATCTTTTTAAACTCAGCAGGCTCATCTTCCGGTGAAGTATCGCGATTCTCCATCATCTGCAACCGAATTAATTTCATATATCATCTCAATAGATTTAAATTGATGACATAAAATTTTACTTTCCCACTGTTAATTATTTGCAACCATTAATTTGCGTTGGTTTTTATAAACCATGAATATTACTCATGATTGGAAATTTAGGAGGCTTTAGAAGAATCATTAATCGTTAAATAAATTATACATTTTTCTTCTTGTCACGTTCATATGCATGATTAGAAAGGGAGAAAATGTGATTTAAACAAACCTCAGAAAAGGATCTTTTATTGACGCGAGTTCTGGCTTCTCTCGCTTCCCTCGCTTCCCTCTCAGCGTTTAATGCCTCTTCTTGCTCGACTGCCGACATTACTGGCGATACCTCCGCCTGCTTGTCATGCGACATTTTGTGCGCCGCTAGCCGTATAAGAAGCCCGAACAATCGGCCGCAAAAATTGCATTTATATTTCTTCGGCTTATGAGTGCGCATGTGATTCGATAGCGCGCTTTGCGCTGTGCAAACCTGACAAAATATACATTTTTAATAATTCTAACAAACATAAGGCTTTTTTCTGCGATAACACAATTATGAAGACGTACTTTTCCGCATGTAGGACACGTGAGGGATTTCGCGTTTTCGTAGAATGGATCTATCCTTTTAACTTCTCCCGTTCGTTCCGCTACTTTTGATGGAAATGTAGGCTCTGCAGAAAATGGTCTTTGTGGTAATACCAAGTTGTCGTTCGTTTGATGCAACTGCATATGGTCTTGATAAGCTCGTACAGTAGGAAAGAACCTGAATGTATACACATACGTTCAGATATATCGAATTATAGATACAGAAACGTTATATTTGTAGAAAAGTTTATAAAAGAAATGTATCCTCAAACTCACCTATTGCATAATGAACACCGTGTATCTCCATCAAAAAACTCAGACAATTCGGCCAAATGATAGCACAATCTGTGCTGTCTCAACATGCTCCAGTTTAGAAATTGTCGATCACACTGGTCGCAATCGTTCAAGTTTTCTACTGAGCCCAATCTCACTTCCAGATGAATTTCAGCTTCATGTCTCGCCAAGAGCTCCACGGATTCGAAGGACATGGAGCATCTTTTGCAAGTAAATTCCCGCGGACAAAGCACTTGCATGTGTTTCACCAAACTCTCCCTTGATCTGAAATCAATTCACGCTGGTTATCGACTAAATTGACGAACTGATCTCGCTGTGTTACGGATTTGCAAAACTCACTTGAAATATCTGTTGCATGGCGCACACCACCATTCAGAAGTTAACATCGCCTTGGTGTGTAGTCTCTGTCGATGACCCACCGTTAGATTGTTCTTTGCCATATTGTTCAACGTGAGATTACCAGTCAACGCCTGTTCCAAGATGCTCGTGCGTTTTTCCTCCTTTCTCGCTTGGTATTCCGCCTTGGAGAACGCCTGCTCCTCTTCCATGCCAAATGTAGGAACTGTATTTGTTGCTGTTCGCATACCTGTGCTGTATGTCTCCAACCACTTGGGCCTTTTACTCGCTGGTTCACAAGCAGCGATCTGGTCATTCAGATTTGTATCCGCAGTCATTTCCTTGATCTCCACCTCGCACGGTAATTCGGGCAGGCTCTCTATGCAGGTGTTCTGTAGCTGGTCTTGACTAATCTGGTTGACTGGAGCCAATGAATTGTCAAGTGGCAGTGAGTTTGGCAAAGGTACCAAAGGCGGTGGTGCTCTGGATGTTTTTTTGTACAGTTGCGCCTGCCAATTAAAACAACAACAATTAAAGAGGAATTTCATCAAATCAACTTTAATACACTACGATTCCAATTAAGATAAATACTTCAACTTTCAACGTAGAATATATGTACGCATATTCTATGTTGGGAGTTTAATTATCCATATTTAAAGATCAAAACAAGAGTATCCAGAGTTAGGTATGTATCCAGGCATTGGTACTTTTATCTTAATCTTAAAGAAAAATCTACTTGCAGAAAAAATAAAATAATAAAAAATCTACATAATGCAGTTTTATAGTTTGTATTGTATGTGGTTATATAGAATTGCAATGCTTTTACAGAGTGAAATTACAGAAATTAATGCATAAAAAACACCAAATATTGTATTAAAAACCAAAGATATTTTTTTATTTACAAAACTTTTTTTTGTTTTTATATAATATTTGGTACCTCTCCATGCATTGACATTTGTACTTCCACTTTGTATAGAAATATTTGCACTTCTATGTAATCAAATAGAAAAACAGTGCAAATTACAAAGCTGCATGTCGATATCCAGCATCTCCTTAAGAACGAAGTATATCTGATGGATTCTCAGATATACAACCAATCAGAGATCAGTCAGTAAGAGTCACCTTGTCTGAAATTTAAACTTTTGTTTTCGGAATAATAATGGAAAAGAATGATTCTGAAAGTATCAAGAAGTTTTTAGATTCTCTAAAGAGTATCGACAAACCTGGCATGGGTCTTGTGAGTTCGTCATCGCGTCCAAAAATACCCGCACCGATTCAGTCTGTTTGGACTTGAGTAGTATGTTGAACATTTTCTTGAAGACGTCCAGACAACGCTCCCGGAACTCGTAAGCGTCGTCTAGCCTGGCCGCGCAAAACTGGCAGATCTGTTTCGGCAATGGGTCGGTTCGGTAGACCAACACTGGCAGGCAACCGCGCAGCTTATGAGGCACCTTGCGCTGCATGCTCTCGTTGCCGAAGATCGGCATCATCTCGTCCCTCTTCTCCAGACACAGCCTGCACACATCTCCAAACTTGTCGACCATAGTGCGAAGAGATGGAAGAGACTCTGTTCACCGAAGAGACTCTGTTCACCGTCACGCCTTGTCGTCGTGATCGACTATGATGTCGCGCGATTTAGGTTAGCTGACTGTCAGCGAGCTAATGAGACGAGGCTTCATAACGAACGCGTCTCCACGATCATGTTCCCGGTGCGCGGAAGAAGAGGACGCGAGAGACGTTCCCGTGACTAGGCCGCCAGCTCGCTCGCTTGCGTATTCCCTTCGATTACTTCACTTTCACTCGCACGCCTTTTCGCTGCTTCAGCATTAGCCTTTGAAGTGTGGCGATTCGGCTGGAACCGGTTTCGCGCGTCAAGAACGGTCTATCGACGTGCACATACGTGTCGCGCTATTGTCATCTCGCCGTGCACCTCGTGCACCTACTATGGGAACGCGGCAGAAGAAGGTGGCGAGCGTCGTCACGTTGTCTTCGAGGTCTTAGACGTGATGCACTCATTGGAGCGCGTAGCGCCATGTAAACGATGCTCTTCAGCAACTCTCCCTCTCTCCTTTTCTCTCCTTCGTTCCCGTTCGCCCTCCCTCGCTCTCTGCTTATCCTCTTCGTCGCTGCTGCTCGCGCCCACTTGGGCCATTGTGCTCAAGACGAATCAGAACGTGCTCAAGATCTAGCCGTCGTGTCGTCTGCAACACGTGTCATCGATTGCCTGCCGAGTGCGCGGCATTTTGCAGTGGGACATTGAAGATTTTTTTTTTACTTTCAGTGCGCAAGGTGTCCGGATACACCTGTTCTCGATTTCAATGACTCGATGGTCCTCCTTGATGGTCACTTGTTCTTGAATCCTTGAGACGGGCGCAGGCGCACGGCGGCGACTAGAGATTCATATTGACCTCGTTCTGTACAATTCACTTTCTATGATATTTCTGTCATCGGCAAAATTAATGTAGCGTACATTCAGGTCTATTCTCCAGACGTGTCTTCTCTCAGCAGACATATTTCGACATACTGTCTGATCAGTGACCAGCACAGGACTAGCAAAGATGCGTCCTCATACAGCAAGAATTTTATCAGTATATAAAAGAACAACTTGATATTTTGTGAAAAGTGTGGCAATATTTTGATGCCATGATATAATTGTAGCTTATCTTGCCGGAAAGAGAGCGCAATTAATCCTGAATGTAAATCATGGCGTAATAAAAATGCATTTCTTAAAACAAGCATATTTGAAACACATTGTATTTTTGCAATAGCATCACAAAGTGTCATCATTAAATATTTGCGTGCTATGTCCAGCATTTCTATTTGAGCATCTTTCTTTATCTTTATTTATCGCGACACGTAAATGAGACTGTGATAGATTCAAAGTTCGGGTACAGTCTCAAAATTTTTATTGAGCAAAATAGACGACACACATTTTTTCGTTATATATGTATTTCATTATATTCCAATGTTATCTTCGAATTTTTTTTACTCTCTAACCGTATGTATTTGCGTGTATGTGTGCAGAAGCTTGTATAATATGTCGTAAATGTAGACAAGCAGATATACTTGGAAATCGGTCTTTTGACGTATATCGTGTAATTTCTCATAAAAATATAACGTCTTATTCTCCAAGCAAGCTGTATAAAGTAGCATATATATTATTGTATCATAATAATAATTTACCGGTTCACATAGAAAATCGGCTCGTTTAAAATAAAAAACGTTTCATAATACAGTAATATTATATTAAATAATTACTAAAGAAAAAAAAGGAGAGGTTCCTGAGACTTCACAGCGACCCTCTATCTCGTAATGTGTGTGTACGCAAAGCGAGCTGGTTATCTTAACGACGCGATTGGAATGGATTGGAAAAAAAGAGACTGTGCTCATATCAAGCGATCACGCATGTAAAAATTATTAAGGTAAAAGTACCACACAATGCCAGGGCACGTACACTGAAAAAAAATACTTAAAAATTTACTCATAGGATATAAAGTTTTTTTTATGAAATAAAATATATTTCTGTAACGTGAATATCTTTATATCTTTACTTGAATATCTTTACTTTATATCCCACAAATAAATTTTCACATTTTTTTTCTCAGTGTACCTAACTCTAGATATTTTTATTATTTTGGTCTTTAAATATTTAAGGTTTAAAGCTCGATTTTTCAATAGCAGTTTTAAACTGCCGGACACTCGCCATGGTCATATTGGATTTTGATGTTAAAGCAAGAGGTAATACTGAAGATTTTTGCTATTGTAACATGTAGGAACCTTGAACTTAAATTTAAGCTTAAACTGCTAACTCTAAGCACTTAAAGACCAAGACAATAAGAACGTGCAGGATCAGGTACGTCTCCAGAAATTAATATTTTGACCTTAAGTAAGTCTTTTGTCGAGAGGACAACCGGAGCGCTCACGACGCATCGTTTGATCCTTCGGAAAAGCTCACCGCGAGGCTTGTCAACTTTCAGACTCTAATCGCATTTCGCTTGCTCGACATTATCAACGGGAGAGAATCGATCGAATTGTTATCAAATTTTCGATAATAACTATCACCTTTTCAATATTCCACGTTTCAGCAAAAATATCTCGCTAGTTCCGTGGGGAATCGACGTGTTTGTCGCTATGAAGTTTCGCACACAGGAATGGTTGTACACAAAGTCAAAGGAAGAGCTAAGTGGAAATCGCTAAAGAAACCAGGAGCGACGCGTACGCGTATGTCAAGAGAGTAGCGCGGGAAGACCTTTCATCCGTTATTAAATATTATGTTACACTGTACATGTTCTCTGTACAATCTTAGAGTTAGCAGGTCAACGCGCGAGCTTAACTTGCCGTATTGTATACGCTGATAACTATTCACAACCGAATGAGGAGACAAGTCGAAAACTTAATCAATAAAAAACCAGTAACAAAAAGCTCGATTTATTCTACACGCGACCAGTTTCGTCTGGTCGAACGACTACGTGAAAGGAACCTGCTGCTTTATCTACACTGATCTATTCGCAATAGAGCTGACGATTCTCGTGTTCTACCGATTCTTCCCTTCGTCTTCAGTGATTAACGTTTATAAGTGCAGGGTGTTCATCCGAGTTCATCGCACCTCCTTTGACTCATTTGGACTAAGTACTGCTTGTTCTGATTGGACGTGTAGATTTTCGTATCGGTAGTCGAGAGCGCAGGATTTTTCTGAGTGTTCGCATATTATCTCTATCACATTTATGCGACGTGGTAATCGTTACGTATTGACGTTTGGGCGCGGTGAACACTGAGACACCCTCTCTATACATTTCCTTATAAATATATCAAAGAGTAAGGTGTCTTATCACGGCAAATATCCATCTCTCTCTTTCACACATTCTGATTGACAAACAGATATTAACTATCTATCTTCTCGTATCCCTACTATCTCGTTGGTACGGCTGGCATTTTTTCAAGGAAGTCTTGCTCGATCACAGTCTCCAATTGTGTGTTATTCACCAGCACATGCGTGTCGCATGTGGCACGACTAAGACTCGAGAAGAAATGATGCAAGTCCTGCAGGGAACGGACATTGTTCGATGTCAACAGGAGCTCTCCAGGGTTCCTTTTCGGCAGCGGACCTTCCGGTTTGTACTGCAAACGAGACAAAATATCAATGTACGACTCGAGGTGCAATATGGAAAAGTTCCTTCAAACGTATCGGATATCGTATTTATGCACGATCGTTGAAGCAAAAACGAGAGATCGCGCTCGCAGTTTCGACGTTGAACGTTGTGTAACGCTCACTAGACAGATGAGAAAGCATGTATTGGCTTAGTTGCAAAAACGAACATATGTATAATAGCCACGGCGCTAAAATAAGTATTTCAAGAACAGACAGAAACGTGTGCGTCAAGCTCGATCATTTGCGTGAGCCCGGTTCTCGAGTGGTCGTATTAACGTCAATCCCAACAAACGAAATGTGAATAGAAGAAAAAAAAGACGAAAAAACGAGAGGAAAAGTGTCCCAAATTAAATCGAGATTTTCATGTGCTTCTCAACATTTGACTGTCCATAATATATACCAGCAAAAGACACTGAATTAGATGTAATACATTGTGTAACGATGTTAAATAGAAATGAAGTCTTTAAGTGAAGCCTATATAAGGGTAGGATCTCGTAGCGATAATTGAGAGAGCAGTCGTACGTTGCAGCTCAAACAGTCGGTGCAGAGCTCGCCAACGCGAGATTTATGAGGAATTTGATCATAGTGGCGATGGTTTGGCTGAAGATTGTGTTTTGTTACATTTTGTGCACCGAGATAGTTTTTAGCAAAGGTGAGTCTCGAAACGATTCGATCCGTTTCTTCGTTTGTTCCAAAGAATAACGTAGACTTATGGCAAAGCGCTCAGCACTAGTGATATTATTTCATTTTCATTATCATTCCTGCATTCTGTCTGCACACTTACTTTTTCCTTACACATTTGCGGATATTATTCATGAGGTTATTAACGAATGTAAGTAAGATAAAATTATTAATGCTTGGACATTAAATAACACTGATACTAATAACTCTGAACATTTCTATTGTTTTGGTCTTCAAATACGAATATTTAAAGTTTTAATATAGAATATATCTACATGTATTGAATATCTCTCTCTCTTTCTCACACACACACACATATGTTAAAAGTTTAAATGTTTTTATTTAAAAACCAAAACAATAAGAACGTTCAGAGTTAAAGTTAAAGTTAATGTTAAAAGTTAGAGTTAGAGTTAGAGTTAAAATAAAAGTATTAATGTCCAGGCATTGATACTTTTATCTTAACATTTTTCTTTTTATCTGCATCAATTGTACATTAGACGCTTGATTCTAAATGATTCTGATACAAGCTTAACTGATGCTAACGAGCATTAACGAAAACATAGCTGCAGTGCAACGACCTGTTCCATTAAATTGACTTAATCAGCTTAACTTCTTCCTAATCGAGAATAGCCTTCCGCTCTAGGCTCAACGTAAACGTTGCTAAGTTATTAATTTAAGACGTGTAGGACGAATAATTAAATGTCACACTCATTTAATTATCGTATTCGTTCCAGAGTATAGGGACGATTCCGAGGACGATTTTGACTTCTACGAAGACTTATCGGAGGATCGTGTGGGGAATTCCCATAAGAGACGTATCGGTATGGTGCCGGATGATTTTTACGAGAAAGTGGAGAGCCAACGCAATGTGTATCCCAAGTCGCAGGATCACCTGACCGCCTTCGGGAACAATGTCGATTCTTTCGAGAGAAATCTGTTCGCCGAGCGTCTCAACTGGTACGAATTGCCCAGGAAGGTTTACAGATACACCAAGCACCGAATTCCCGGCTACGACTACGACGAGTTCGCCTCCATAGACTCCAGAAGCTACCAGAAGTGCGACGACCGATCGGTCTGGACACATTGCCTCTGTCAGTTCACGTGCATGGAGCCGGACGTGGTGGACTGTTACACACCGTGCAGAAGCGGATGCGAGTGCAAGGAGGATTACGTTTTCGACGAGATAAGACAAAAGTGCTTGACACCGGAGCAGTGTTGGTCAAACGACGAAGAAGGGAAAGATTTTAATTACCAAATATGATGGTGTTCACAGAATCGACATACTTGCGCAGACACATTGTCTCAGCGATATTTTCACACATGCACACACATATACACACATCAAGTTTTTCGCTCCCGGAGACACGAGAAGCGTGGAGAATAGTTGTGGTACACGCGCCAAACAATTCGTCGCAAAAGTAGAGCTTGAATCGCCAGGAGCTCACCTTACTGTCCATTAATTTCGCGATTCGTGTAATGTGCGGTACAAAGTCCGAGGATAGGTTATTGTTATCCGTGCATCCCGCCGCCGCGTCTCCAACAAACGCCCATTTATACCTGTAAATTAGCGAGACATTAAATACACACTCTGGCTTTGTGAGACATGACGCGGCCGTCTCGAGTAGTACGCGTCAAAGAATCGTTTCGAGAGACCACTCACATCTGAAATTGCGGCAATCTGTGCGCGGGCAACAGCAACGCCAGGTCTAGCAGCTTAGCAGCAGCCAGTTGTAACTGTAACCAGTGAGGATGTCCGTGTGCCTGCAGCCCGTTGCTGGCGTTAACGGCCCACGACGAGTCCAGGGCCGACAAGAGCTTGATGTGAGAGCTGTGTAAAAAAAATAATTATCCCATTATTCACAGATCGCCATCGAGGGCTCGGCGCGATGGAGTTCGAATCTCGAGAAGCGTGACGATTCGGCCCAACCAATGTAAACGATATACAATTTCCCAAACAGAGCTCGGTTCGGCAATTTTATGCGCACGGCATACGGTTACCAGGTTGCAAATTATGCGAAAGAATAAGTTTGATCTGTTTACTCGTTTGAGTATCTCTGAAATACTCATTACACTTTGAATCGCATCTTTGATATGTATATATATTAGGTTAACGCAAAAGATTTGTCATTTTTCTATTAATTTCTCGTAGAAAATCTAATAAAAAGATTTTATTAAAAGAAAAATAGAAAAATACCGAATCGACGTTGCTCGTTTTATTTGTAAAAATTATTTATTCCTCGAAATAGAATAATATTTTCTATTTAATTTGGCAAACACATGACAAATCTTTCGCATTAAAGTATCTTTGAACATTTAGAAATATTTATAGATGCATCCACGCGCGCGCGCGCGCGCGTTTCGTTCCAAGCACATGTAGATACATTCAGATACTGAAACTAAAGTCTTCCACAGCATTTTTCGGTTTTGCAACGTTAACCGTATACATACGCCACGCGGTATATGTCGAGTATGCATGGACCATCGAGTTACCTGCTATGACGACTGTTGTCCCAACACCATTCAAGTTACGGAGGCACCACAAATCCCATCAAATCGCGGATGCCGAAACAGAGCCAAAAAACAGTACGATATTAGGTTCGTGTCCATGTTAGTGGGGGACGTATACAGACAAATTTTCTGCGGATATATTTTTACTGCTATATATATATATATATATATATATATATATTTATATATATATTTACCATTTTCAATATTCATGTATGTACTTAAAACCTCAAGGAGAGCTATATATCGATATCTTTCGTGCGTCACTCTACGTATTCTATGTATCTAAACCTATCATTCATATTTTGTATGTTTTGCAAATGTTAGTGATCTCCAGATTTTATTTCGAGATGCAATCTCAAAGTCAATGCGAAACGCGCACAACACTATCGATCATGCCAGTGTGTGTGTGTACCACCGATAATTCACGTACTGCAAGACTCTCGCTACGAAACTATCGGTCACATTGACGTACACGTCAAAGCCATAATGCAATTTTGAAGAGAAAACAAAAAAAGAAAAGAAAAAAAGTAGAAACAAAAGAAACGAAGTGATATATTCTCGGTATACTTGAAATAAAGTAACCAATCGCGCGTACGCAAAATGAACATATACCATGCACAATACGAAGCAGTAGCGTCCCATAAAGCGAGTTTGCTCAATATTCGGAAGCAACATGAATCAGAAGAATTCGCGTACCTGAACTCTTCGCTGTCTGTATTCAATTCTTGCTCAATGTAGAGGAAAACTTGAACAAGCTCGCTAACTATGACCGGCCATAAGGACGTCGCGTGTTGCGGTGACATTCTCAATAGCAATACGCGAAAACATAGAAACACTTGCGCCTGGATAGACGGGATTACTTGGGGTAGGCGTAAACTATCTGCTAAACGTTCTGAAAGCAAAATAACCAATCAACAGTTATACGTGTGTGTGTCTGTGTATCCTAGAAATCCCGCAAGCGCTCACCTTGTATCTCCGGCATGTACTTGTGATACTGATCCGTCTCGCTGCAAAGGATAACGAATGCTAGCCGTTTCAATAGTTGCGCTTTCTGCTCATACTCCTGCTCTTTCGACGAGAATATACTGATCCCGCTACCTTGAGCCATGGAGACGCGATCTGTGTGATAGAATAATGTTAGTTTTTAGCTTTTACGATTACAAAAGAAATGATAAATGTTGCTAGCAGGACATTTATGCTAATTACTCATTAAATCTCTGAAGGTAGTATTGTCGTGCGTCATCAGGTTGTCTATTATAGTTCTCCAGTACGGCAAGCACGCCGGTGTTATTTGGAAGAAGGCCGGATCGAGCAACAGATCCAAGACATCTTTGCGCCATGCTTTCCGCGTGTATTGGTATCCTGACAAGGAAGCCAACAGCTGAGAGCAAGCCGTAAACGAAGCGATGTTCTTTATCCTGCAAGATTGTAATCGAAGATCAGAATATAATTTTCTCATTGGCATCGCAAAGAAACATCTGAGCAGAGTTAAACAATTAAAAGCCGCAAACAACTCGTAAAACTCACGTGTGATTTTTCAGATATGGCGTAACGTTGTACATGAGATTCGTCAACAGCGTCACTACGCGTTCTTTCTCCTGAGAGCCGTAGCTGACGTCCAACAGCGGTGCGAGTATTTCCGCTAACACTCCTTGAGCCTGAACGCTATATGCTGCGTTAGGCGGGGTACCGGGTGTCACTGTAACAAGTTTCTGTCAGTATGCGCGGTCACCAGCGAAAAAAAATCTAAGCAGCTCGCCAATGCAAGATTGCAGAACCGAAAGGACATAAAGCGTGTTAAAGAAAAAAATTGAAAAAAAACGAAAGAATTCACCGCTACGCTAAGAGTATTACTTAAGTATGACTAAAAAATAAGATGCACATTACGCACCAGCACCATTCTTTCCTTCTTTACCTTCCGAAGAGCCTTCCACCACCTCGAAGACGTCTTCTCGGACAGCCAGGTTTCTTCTCAGCCACGTTGTTTGCTCCAAACAAGCACCGGCTATTTGCGAACATGACTCGATCAGCTGGAATGTTTGTCGAGTATATTTAGCAACGTTTATTGAAAGTGCAGCATAAACCGCAAGATAATCTTGTTACCTTTGCAGACACGTCTTGCAGATCCTTGATATCTTTCTTCTCTTGCATAGGTGGGCACTTTTGTACATACTCGTTCAGTATAGCCAGCAGGAGAAATTGTGCAGGTGCTGTCAGTGACAGACCGTCCTTCAGCAGACTGAGCAAGGACGCCCAGGATTCGATGAGCGACTGTGACGTGTTACTTTGCATGTACACGTAAAGTAACTCTAGCACCGAGACTTCCAACGAGAAGTCTTGTTTGATTCCATGTATAGGCGGTGGCGTTTTCACCACTTGGTGTACAGTGTGTACCAAGGTGTCAATAGGCATCACGCGAATTGCGCTAACTAGATGAACCATCACCTGCTGGTTGGGGCAAGCTTCTGGGAGCACCTGTGTACAAACGCATTCAGACTTAGACACGGTTCCACCAACGTTCTTAAACGTCAATCAAATCTTAATCTGAAAGTTTAAGTTTTTGTCTGTTTAAGCCCAAATTAAAACTTACGACGATATTGGTGAAACCGTTGGTATTAGAGAAGCGTTTCTCCTAAGAGACTAAGTTAGATATTATCTATTTTCCACGTCATTCTTTTTTCTTTGATCAAACATTCATGAAGTTTACCTTCTTTGAAACAGCGGACGGTTGTCGTCTTTCATGCCAAGCTACTGCGACCGCAGCTAGGAAATTGGCTCCATGGTGGAAAGAGATTGGCGACAGGAGCTCCAATAACTGATATTTTACTATTCTTGGACTGCCCACCACACAGCTAGCTTGCTCGCTATACAACATTAAAAAAATTAAAACAATATTATATTATAATGTAATATAAAAAATTGTCTTACACATGTAAAAAATATGGTATAATTTTTACTTGTCTTTCGTTGCTAAGACTGCTTGCCATAAAGCAGATAAGGACGCTATTATCCTCGGCAAGTGGCTCAGCGCCGTTCTTCTGGCGTGTTGTTGCAGTTCGGTAGCGCCAGTTTTATCTTTGGTGGTGGACAGATCCTGCGGGGATCCGAAAGATAAAGTGTACTTTACTACTTATACACGAGACTTATATAAGATTCGTAGAATTTCCATTACGTAGAACTAACCGAAGTAAGCGGGCTCGGCATGAAAACATGTATGAGATTATTGAATATCTGTCCTGGATTAGCGCCGGGAATTCCTGTTTGTATCGTGCCACTTAGCGGCTGATTGAAGGAGAATCCAATTTGCTGTGAGGTATCCAACAGGCAATAATGCAGCAAATACGTCAAGGCCTCAAGATGCGTGACTGTGTAATCCGCGGGCAAACAACACTCGACTGTGCTAATATCCTGCAACTTCGATGTCAACGCGGCCTCTTCACTGATATAATACGACGCCAGATGTTCGATATTGCTGCACAATTGATGAATGACCGATGTAACGACAGTTGTCAGAGATGACCCCATAAATGGCAGGCTGGACGTGACGAGCGTCGTCCAGTGTTGATGAAGATGCCTCATATGATCCTAAGTGAATAGTATTCATTGATGTCATTGATAACATTCGTTGGTCGCGCACCAGCTTGTTTATTCCAATATCGCGAAATACATACGAGTTGTAATGCGCTGAGGATGCTGGCGAGGAACATTGGTTGCTGCGGGATCGCCGCTCCAGGAATGTATTTTAGACTGTTCCCTATTAAATTTGGCAGAGCCCGCGTCGGTGAGCTTGGTATGGACGACATCGTCGGGTTGATTTCCTCTCCTTTCTGACTGCTGCACTGATGTTCCAACATGATTAACGATAGCAATAATCTAGAAATAGATCGGTTAGTTACATAAACTAGCAACGTAAAGTATTTCTGTGAAAAATTTGTGAGATTATGACATACTCACCGTAATAACTGTATCTGAAAAGCTTCCGTATGATCACTCGCTCTATATTTACACTTGTTAACGTCATTGTCGATGAACGGATCGTTGAACAGTACGATCTCCTCGGTGAACGTGAACACGTCCTCGTTCTCTTTGTGAGCGTTTTTCATACTCATAACACTGGACACGAGACAGTGCAGTGCAACCTTTTGTACTTTGCACTTAGTCAGCAGATCGACTATGTAGCAGCTAAAACCTTTCCCGGAGTCGCGTACAATTGGGATCAACTCAGAAAATATCAGCGTCAGTAACTCTGCGCTCGCAAGCTGCACCTGAAAGCATTAAACTTTTATTGTTTGTGATATATATATATATATATATATATATATATATATATATATATATATATATATATATATATATAAATGAAAAATATTCATATATTTTACTTTATAGAAATTACATATTTTATACATTTATATATCTTAGATGTTTTATTGATATTAAATCGGTTTCCTCCTTGACGCACATATAAAAATACTCTCAAAGAGTCAAACTTTTATTTATAATGCAAAAAAGAAATATACCTGGCGATTACCGGCGATCTCTTCGTATGTCAGTCTCATTTGTCCAAGATTCGGGTAGTAACTTCTCGCAAAATACAGACATACGCTTATCAGCACTTCCAGATACATGCTGCTCCTGTAAGCCGCTATGAATTCCGAATTAGCTATGCTACCGTGGAAGTTCCTACCGAAAACGCTCTTCCGATGCCTCGCCAATAAGTTCAGCAATATCGTCGAGGCATTTTTGGTCGCATTCGCCACACCGGTCGTCGCAGCGCAACATAGGAACATCCGTGTATTCGTCAGCAGCTCGTTTCTAAGCGTACGTAAAGCGTAGAGAGTTCTAGTCGAATCGTATACGCCACAGTAGAGCAACATGTGCGAATGAAGATTGTGAACACCCAGACCAACATTCCGATTAGTTTTTGCGTTTTGCTGCGTGACTTCCTCCGACTAAAAACGAAAAATATTATAATTCTTGCCAAAACAATGTGCAATGTAAAGATACCGCTCGATAGAAATAATAATGCGGCTGAATTATTGAGTATAACCCTCCAAATGACTAAGGCTGCGTTCGAGGAGACGCTATTTAGCGCTATGAGTGTGTCCTTGTTTATTCCTGAAAGTTGAACAAGGACAGAGAACGTTCACAGCGCTAAATAGCATCTTCCCGAACGCAGCCTAAGATTCAACAAAGTTGTTGAACATTTTGTCTGTAACTGGCAATACTAGACAGAATATAAATAAATCGGCATTATAGACTTGAAGCAATAAAATTTACTACTAAAACTGTTGCTAACAAACTGAAAAAGTGTTGAAGTTCAAACGCAAAAGCTTTTGAAAATACCTGCAGTTTAGCAAACCTCTTACTCAAACATACATGTGTATCTTCAGCGAGCGCATATATATATATATATATATATATATATATATATATATATATATATATATATATATATATATATAT